CAAAAGGTGCTTCTACTAAATACTGAGCAAAGGGTCTGAATACTTATGACCATGTGATATTTCAGTTTTTCTTTTTTAATAAATCTGCAAAAATGTCAAACATTCTGTGTTTTTCTGTCAATATGGGGTGCTGTGTGTACATTGATGAGGAAAAAAATGAACTTAAATGATTTTAGCATATGGCTGCAATATAACAAAGAGTGAAAAATTTAAGGGGGTCTGAATACTTTCCGTACCCACTGTACATGAAAACCTTTTCGTGTGACTGATTTTAATCATATTGCAAAGAGTCTCCTAGTGATCCCATGAGAGATATTATTTTTCTCTCATGGGATCTCACCTCTTGGCAAAGACAGAGGTCATGGCCAGTTCAAGAACAACGCACTCACAGTAGCAGTGTCTTGTTTAAACAATTTTTAGCAGAGGTTTGATGCTTAGACATCTAGTTTTATCTGTTTTAATCAAAGGATAAGGCTGGTGATTTGTATGTTTTCTTACTACCAAAACCAACAGTGAATGTATCCTGTTAACAGATATTCACTGTGTGTATCCAAAGGTTTGTATAGCTTATTCAGCTGTGCTATAGAGCTCCATTGTTGTCCAGAAACTATTAAAACAGATCAGTGAGCCACACTGTTACACTGGGTGATGTTTTCATGATGACAACAAATAAGGGCACAGTTGTTTATTTGTAAGCAGCTCCACAGATGAATAAACCTGTGCCATGTATTATACATTGAGAAAGTATTCAGACCCCTTCATTTTTTAACACTTTACTGTGTTGTAAATATAATTTTAAATGAATAAAATTGCACTTTGTACCCATCAGTCTGAAGGCATGTTTTTAGAAATTCTTGCAAATTGATTAAAAATCAAACACTAAAATCTCTCATTAACAAAAGTGCCAATAGCAGGTGCTGGCCAGGCGATGAGCAGTGCCTGGCGTTTGCCAAACATGGTGCTTGGAGTGCTGCCAAAAATGTTAATTTACTTCTCATGAGACCATTCCTCTTGCTCTGAGCCCTGAGGTTACTGTCTGGTAAACTCCAGGTACACTGTCATACATCTATTATTCAAAGTGACTTCAGTCTAGCCACTCTACCACCACCTGACTGAGATGTTCATCCTTCCGGCAGATTCTCCCATCTCTGCGCAGGACTTCTGAAGCTCTGTGGGAGTGAATGTTGGGTCACTTCTTGCCTGGTTATTGTGTTTGCTTGGCTGGCTAACTCTAGGAAGAATCCAGGGTTTTCCTAACTTCTTCCTGTCACGGTGTTCCTGGAAACACTCACAGCTTTAGAAATGGCTTTATACTCTTGACCTGATCTACAGTATGCCTCACTACAGTTTTATCATGGAGGTCTACAGAGACTTCCTTGGACTTTATGCCCTGGCATACAGCGTGAATTGTGGGACCTTGTATACACAGGTGTGTGCCTTTCTAAAGTGTGTCCAATCAATTCAGTTTGCCACAGGTGGACTCTGGTCAAGTTGTAGACACAGCTCAAGAATAAAACAAACACTCGACCATCTGCAGTGCCACAGCAAACATTCTGAATAAAATCTGAGATTTCAGTTTTTGATTTTTAATTCATTTTCAAAGAGTTCTAAAAACATGTTCATTATCATAATAGATCCCTGAGTGTGGACTGACAGGGAACAACTGCAATTTTTATCAGTTCAAACTAAAATGTACAACACAAAAAACATGCAGAAACTGAAGGGGTCTGAATAATCAATGATGCCATTGCATATAATAACCAGGGGCCCTGTGTCAGACTTTGAAGACTCTTATATACGGACAGTAATTATATTTCCTTGATGTGGCCATTGCTATCAACACAAATAGTTTTAAAGGATGCCTTTCAGTATCTCTGATGATTGTAATGTATGTCATGACCAAATGTTTCTCTCCTTTCCCAACAGCAATAGGCAATGCATATGCAGTGCTGAGCAATCCAGAGAAGAGGCTGCAGTATGACCAATATGGTGATCAGACTGCAGGTCTAAACGCACCCCAGCAATCCAACCACAGTCACCATGGACACCACCGAAGCTTCAACAGAGACTTTGAGGCAGACATTTCCCCCGAGGAGCTTTTCAACATTTTCTTTGGGGGAAGGTTTCCCACAGGTGAGCAGGCCCTGTGAGTGCTTGTTTGCATGCAGGCTATAGTTATATAAGCTCCTCCACATACAGTATGTTTATATATTAAAAAAAAAAAAAAAAAAAAAAAGGTTATGTGCAAGAATCAGATTCAACTTTATCAGCCAGGTGTGTTGGACACACGAGGAATTTGACAGGTACAGTGGCTCTCGATGTGTATGTGCAATGCTCTTCTGTAAGGCAATGAGTAAACAAGTAAACAAGCATGAGTTATGAAAGTGAAATGTTGTAAAGTATAAAATTATTAGTATTATTCCCAGTATTGCATATGATTGTAGATGCTATAGAACTGTGGGTGTCTCTACAGGAAATATCCATGTGTACACCAACCAGGGAGCCTCCTACTCTCAGTATTACCAGCCTCGTCGTCGACGTGCTTATGAGAGGCGTGAGGAGGAGGTGGTGGAGGACAACCAGAGTCAGGTCAGTGACTCACAAAATGTGAAGACAAATCCCTGTTGAACAGCAACATTATTGCAGTGTGATCTTCTTGTGGATATATGGCAATATTCTAATCATTCTGTTTTTAATGTGGTTGCAGGCCCAGTCTGATTGTTTCCCATTTGCATGTACTTTACCCCTAACTGAAGTGCCTTTATTGGTGTGACAAATCATGGTTGGTTTCAGAGGCACAAAAGCAATGTACTGGCATGAATACAACGCAGTACAGTGTAGCCTAGATACAGTATTATGTGCTTTGTAACCTGTGCTAATTTTATCGTCCCACAGAACACCTTCACAGCGCTCCTGCAGCTTCTCCCCGTGCTGGTGCTAATCCTCATATCAGTGTTTACTCAGATGATGTCCACTAACCCACCCTACAGTCTTTTCTATAAGCCGTGAGTCTGTCACACTACAGTGACATTAAAACAAATCCTGGCTTCCACAAGAGTTGCCAGCAGTTTCGGTAAACATTTGAGATCTGTGTTTGGGTTTCAGGGCCATGGGCCTGGTGGTGTCCAGGGAGACGCAGCACATGGGTGTACCATACTATGTGGATAAAAGTTTTCAGAAGGAATACCGTGGAGCTGCATTGGAGGAACTAGAGAAGACAATTGAGAGTGACTACATCGAACACCTGCAGAGCAGCTGTTGGAAAGAAAAACAACAGAGTAAGTGTGCAGCTCACTGGGTCTAGAGTCTGTTTTAGTTACGGTGCAGCAGGTATTACTTTGATAAAGTTCAACTTTGGATATGAAATCTTTTATACTGTTTCGTGTGACGTAAACCAACACTAAAATTGCATTCACTTGGTCACTGAAAGAAAGCTTGTGAAATATGAGTGTTTGTTTCTGGAGAGATGGATAGTAAGACTGATGCTACTCTCACATTAAATATCTCTGTGCATTAAATATAAAACTACAGCCAGAAACTAGGAGCAGTGGCTTTCTGCAGTCTCCGCTGGTTTACTGGCCTCTCCCCCCATCTGTAAACCAGTGAGTTTATGTTTTGTGGAGATCAAATAAACAAGCTATACAACATGATATAAGAGCTGTCAGGTGGATTTTCACTGAACAAAACCAGGGTAGCTGTTTCCAAGCTTTATGCTAAGCTAATGCAACTGACTGTTTAGGATACAGATTCATGTGGTGTGGATCTTTTTATCATCTCTATGCCAGATCTTCCTTTTGTCATTCTGTTGTGCTTTTCAGAATCAGACTTGGCGAACCTCGGACAACTGTACCGAGATGAACGGTTAAAGCAGAAGGCAGAGTCGATGAGGCTGGACAACTGTGAGAAACTGCATCGACTGGTTGCGCGTCAGAGAGGCAAATGAGGACTGTTTGCGAGGAGAACACGTTTCTTTACAGACTTTACAATAATTCATTTTTACTGAAGCTTGTATTTTATCCAATCTGGCCACTTTGCAAAGAAACGTCTTTGGGTACGGCGCAGTCAGTGGGAGATTTTGCCACTGAAACAATGTGCCTTCTCTCCTCTTTGATGGTAGGAAAGAGTTGCATGTTAGCTGCCAACCCTGGCTGGGTGGTAGCAGCATCAAGTGCGAACTCACTGTGGCAGTGTGTTTGATGTCTCACAACCTTTCTTATAGAAAAGGCTTGACATACAGGGTTTCCCTTCAGGATTATGAAAATAGTTGTATGTTCACACATACATGTTTTATTTGTTTAGGTTTTATAGTTTAGTTATTTTCTTGACTGTTTTTGAGTCCTTGCTTAAATCTTGGGTGCATTTATTTAATTGTAGAGTGAGCATCTTGGCTCATCGTTGTTTCTGGTGGAAGTTACTAAGTACACTACAATGACTTAAATAATGCTGTTCTTTGGATAAATGTGGGAGCTTCTGTGCTGTGAAATGACAGAGGACCTTTTTATTTATTATTAAAATGTAGACAAACCAGACATGGCAAAGGACTGTAACATTTATACTGTGGATAATCCATCAGTTTGACGTCCGGCACTAGAGCACTGCAGTAGAGCATAATTTGACATGATCACATTTTTCTGAATAATGTGCTTTAATATTAAAGGTTGTTTAGTACTTGCCAAAAGGTGAGCTGTGTTCTACAGTAGAGCTTTCCGCTCCCTGCACTACTGCTTGTACGTATATTCATGTATTGCATTGGTCATTAAGCATCTGCCGTTCAGGAACTTGCATGTTCGGGGTTTCAAAGTGAGTAGTGACTGTTGTATGTTGCAAAAACAGGCCATGTTTTGAAGAAGTTGTCACAAACAAGGAGTCCAGTTCAACCAAAAAATCAATTTGTAGTCTTATAGTGCTAGATATCACTGGAAAGCTCATTGAGTATCTGTAAGGTTCCTGGGACTAAAATGGTATGAAATACCTTGACTTAATGACCATGCACAAGCTTAATTAAGTTTGTAGAAAAAGGTTTTCCATCCCAAATTTATAAATATTTTATACAACCTGCACCTTTAATTGAAATGTTCTATAAAGAAGACACATTTTGTTTTGAAAATCTATACTGAAACAAAATTTTAATCAGTTGTATTAAATATCGGTGGATATGATCAGCTTTCTCCCATCACTAGAAATCACAGCTGACTGTTACTTGGCAAGTCTTGTCCTGACTAGGATGCTAAATTTGTGGAGTTCTCTTTAATTTCTTATACCAACCCCAGATCATTTGAACCCTATACAGACACCACTACTTGTTGCTGTGCACTAAGACCGCCTACCTGCCTTAGCTGCTCTCACATTTGTGAAATATTCAGGTTTATCTCAAGCACTTTTATGTTGGTATTTAATCCTGTGTTCCTTATTGTTGCTGTTGCATGAACCCTAGTGAGTGTTTTATTAGCTGCGTATTTATTTCTTGGCAAATGCATCATCGCAACCACCAGAAAATTAAAGCTGTAATGAGAACATGCGTTGCCTTGTCTGGTTGGTTCATTAGATGTAATGCTGGTTTGACTCTTTATATGGTATAAATGTTTAACCGTGGTATTCATTTCATTAAGGTAGATCACATTCTCAACGTGGGTTGTCAACCATGGAGCCACTTGGCACATCCTGCAAATAATGTTTCTCAAGTGAATACCAAATATTTTGGGTTACTTTTGTTTATAATCTTTGCTTAATCATGTAAATTGTCACAAGCTTAAATTCCACCACATATTTATCTGCGGGAGCCATTTTCTCCTGCCTTTAGATCAGTTTCAGTAAAGCATGAGCAAAGCCCTCAGTGTTTCTGTACATATACGCCCCGACTGTCATGTGGTGTAAGTTGTTGGTTTTATTACACAGTCTAGATGTATAACTTGCGATGGTATCCTCCTTCTTCTGTTTGACAGGACCTAGTTAACATCTGAGCTGTCACACTAATATACTTCTGCTGGTGCCAATTAAGAGATGCATGGATTTTACAAACGGAAAAAAAAAACTTTATCCTTCCATTTTAAAAAGACTGGATGCAGACATAATGAAAGTGTGACTATAATATATCTGCACATTTAGTAGAATCGAGTATGGACGAAGTAGTTGACGACAACAACATGACATCCGGTAGCATCCTGTAAAGGAGTTGGCTCTTGATTCAATAAAAGCTATGAATTAGTTTTATTAAGCCAACTTAATACTAAACAACTACACAAAACCCATTCCAACTGACATACCACACAAACATTAACATCAAGACCAGGCCTTTTATCTGGGATTCTTGCACTCAAAGGTCTTTTGCATGAACATTGTTGATTATACAGCAGTTAGCCTGCAGCAGTCACTACTACTGTGGTGTTTTAAATTGGCACTGGAAAACGTTTGCAAATGTATCTTTAACGTACTATTGTACATTAAAGATGCTTAATACAGTTTTATTCTTTTAACATCTTAAAGTCCACAAAATGGTCTTTAATGTGCCATTTTCTCAGAAACCTTGACAATGACTCAGAATATGCATGTAGGTATGTTTCACAGATGTAACATAGATAAAATCAGTTTATCACAAACAATACTGCAATACTTAAGTGACTTGAAAGTTTTTAAAATTAGAAAACTAACCAAAAATATTTCATTATTTCATTATTTCATACCAGCAATGAAAATATTTGACAGTATGTGCACCCCAATCATTCAGTTTTTGGGCTCGGACTATCAGTAATTCTAGGTTAATCACTCTTTGGCTTCTGGTTTTTGTATTTCATCACTATCATGGTGTATTTTTTATTTTTTTATCAACCACAACTAATCAGGAGTTCAACCAGGTCCTGATGTAGGCTCAATTTCAGGGCTCAGTCACAGCTCATAAAAAAGCACTATACAGGTTAAGTCCATTTACCATTTGTACACTAGAAGTAACTCTTTTTATTTTCCACAACCTAAAATTTGGAGCAGCCCAAGTCTTTGTGATCTGCAGCGATGTCTACTAAAGGTTTAACCTTCCCTTTCTGAATGCCCCCTGCTGTAATCTGAGATTACACAGTATGTAGAACTGTCTTAGAAGAAATGAGCTTCTCCACATTACAGTCTTGTGGTATCACACCTTTCACTTCAATTTAGAGACAGTCTTGACAAAATTTTCATACTCTTCATTTCTTCATCTTGAGGTCAGCTTCTATGGCACAACGGCGCCCTCTGGTGCCTCCATCCTACAGCCAAAGAGGAAGAAAGGACAACATTTTGTTTTTACTCAGTACATGACTGATCTGTCACTAGTGTTTCACTTAACAAACAAGATGTTAAAGTCAGGAATGAGTTAGCCAATTAACACATTTGTTGGAGCTCCGCTTCAAGAGAAAGACAATAAAACCGGAAGGCTTTAAAAGCTGTAGAATGGGTACTTACAAAAAGAGAAAGGAGGAAAGCTGGAGAGGACATGGAGACAGAGTCCTGTAAGAGGAAAATGATGCACATCAAAGCTGCAGCTCAAAAGTGCACTGAAAAACTCGAGGAAGCAAAACAATGCTGACAAAGATGTGACACAATATGTTCAGCACAAGGAATGACTGAAATAAGCTATTGTGTAAATTGGTATTTTAAGGGTTTACCACTCACCTCCTCACTGCACTACTCATCCATATTATTTTTAAGGAGCATGCCAGTATGTTTAAAGTTTTAACTACATACAACATATTCTACAAACAAAGTATATTATTGTCAACCATTTTTCAAAGCATAGCAGAAACTGTACAAGCATCTCCTATTTTCCAGCAACATGCTATTTCAGTTAACATCAGTATCCTATGGAATATATATATATATATATATACATATATATGATGTTGTTCCTGGTTGTGCCTGCTAGAATCTTGCACCCCGCTGTTATGTGCTGGGGGCATCTTTGCACAGCCTGCAAATATGTGTGTATATATATATATATATCTATATACATATTTACAAGTAGATTTTGTCTTCTTTTTTCCTAAATGCAGATTCTTTTTTTGTTCTTCCACTGCCTTATGGAAGCACACTGCACATTGAGAGCCATTGTACGGAGTCAGATTCCTCGTGTGTTCAACATACCTGGCCAATAAAGCTGATTCCGTTTCTGAAATATCACCATTCAACACATGACTAATGAACTACTAGTAGCACGTTTCAACACTGGGCTACACTAACTGATTAACTGGAAAATCTTTATTTTGCTAACATGTTTCCAAGCAGGGTGATTGAGAGAATGTGCCAAAAATATTAAGTCTTCCTTACTTGGTTTGTCAAGGTTACATTATTGTTGTATGGCAATTTAGTACAGATCACCCAGCAGCTTCTTAACTTAGTCGCAAGCCAATTATCATTTTCAGACTGCTATGAAATTAATGGGAAAAAGAGTAACAGCTTGACGGTAGAAAATCCATGTAAATACTTCCTGTATGCTTTGGTAAATAGTTGTCAGTAATGTTCTTCATATTATTACATTAATGCCTACAATTTTCCAAAGCATAACATATGGATTGTTGCTTTCTTGTTTTCCAACTTATTTAAGTTACTATATACAGATTTTTTTTGTCTTGTTTTTGTTATCTTTGTATAGAAATTACATTCAAAGATGAACTGACATCGAAGATTAGAGTCAGCTGCAACAGAGTACAGAAGTACATTTTCATAGCATACAAAGCCAATGGTTATCTAAATGTGATGCTTTGCAAAATGGCCAGCAGATCTAGTTTAGTATCACTGTCTTCTACCTTTAAGTCAGCCTGTTGTCTCACCCTTGTCTCTTCTTCTGTACTCTCTGCTTTTGTCAAAATTCTAGTGAAGCACCTTGTCAGTGGAGTCCTGTTTGCGCGTGCTCTCACGGCCCCTCAGACTCTTGGCGCTGATACCAGACTCTGATGTTTCCATGATGAGCTGGGTAGCTAAAAACTGCTGGATCTGCTCCAGGACGTCACGTTGCATCTCAAGAGCCATGTGGTACACATCATGATCCAGGCTGTTGTACATGACCGCATTCTGAAACATCAGCATGATGTCCCTCTGGAACTCTGCGGTGGTCCGTATCAAACCGGTCTCAATGTTCTTTTTTATGGTGGCCAGGTCCATGGGCCTGTAGAAGAGAAGAGCAACGAATGATTTAAAGACAGTCCAGTCTGTGTGATGTGATGAACTGTTGAAGGCTTGTGAATGGAGAAGATCAATAATCAAATACCATCCTGCAAAAACAAAGGTGTTTTTCTAAATGTCTAAAAAATGGGTACACTATTACTTAAATGAAAATAGCCAAAAAATATGCCAGCAAACATAGACTGAACTTACCTGTGCACAATACTGTGATATCCAGGTGCAATTTCATCTGTTACTGGCTGCAGGAAGACATTTGCATACCTGCAACAGGTGTGCATAAATTACATTGCAGTAATGATATAAGAAATTAAAAATTAAATAGAAATATATGAGAGGTTGACCATCAGTGGCTAGTGTTACTGTTAAGACATATTCTGACCTGTGATTGGCTGCTGCACGCCACACCAGCATAATCGCTTTCTTCCAGATCTTGTGAGCCTGTAGTGCTTCCAGGTCCTCACTGCACACAGAACTGCACAATAATGATATGTAAGGTGGAAGGCAGTGCAAACAGGAAGGTCATAAGGAAAGTATTACCAAGAAGAACTTGATCTGCAGCACAACACTGTGAGAAATTCACATTGCTAGCTGACAGAAGTGAAAAACAATCTGCTTACATAACAGCATTATCACCATCTAGGATGCAGCTTCACCGCCATCTCTCACAGCTGACTGTTTCCTTGTTGTGTGTGCCTGAATGTGTTTCACTCACAACTGGGATGAGGCAGGGCTGCTGGGGATGGAGTCTGCGGTGGTGTGGAGCTGCAGAGATGAGGAAGCCGTGTGGAGGCTGTATCCGTCCTCGCTCTCGCTGGCCGTGGGTTCTAGCTCAATCTCCCCATCTGGCTCTGACAAGAATCCCTCCACCTCATCACCCTCTTCTTCTCCACACACTTCAGGCCCATTAGCTTCATTGTCTACTTTAGTCCCTGAGGCATTCTCTCTTCCTCCAACACTTAGTCTATCCTCCGCCTTCATCTCCTGCAACAACAGATAAAGATGCAGTGAGATTCCAAAGAGAGCCTAAAGTGCAGGAATACTGTGGAGCTACACACTCTGCATTTTAGCAGTTTCAACCATCGTGTTCACTCTGTCCTTGGTGGTTGCTGTACCTTGGAATTCCGTTCCGTCAGTGTGCTATCTTCTACTACTGAGTCTGCCAAGACAGTAAAAATGAATAATAAGAAGGAAATGGTTATGCAAAATGCATATTATGAAGCAAGTGGTTACTAATATTGATGTGTAGGTGTGCATACCTCCATGAGGTTTATCAGGTCTTTTCTGTGCCCACTTATCATTCTCACATTTGAGGGTAACATCCACTGAAATTTGGCTTTTTGGGTATACCACCTCTCCTGGCTCTCTCGCTGCCTCAGGCTGTGGAGGAGCTCCAGTGTGGCAGTGCTCCAAATGCTTTAAGTTGCATGAGGATGAGGAGGTGGGAGGAAGGCTTCTTAGTCCCATGGGGAATGCTGCAAGACAGTTATCTTGGCTGTTGCACAGAGAGGAGAGTGAGGCTGAAGTCCCACCCTGATCTTCAAACACTTCTGTCTTCCCCTCCAGGCTACAGTGAAGTGACGAGGACTGTGAAACCCCTGTGAGTACTGTGGGGTGAGACTCAGGAGTTTGGAAAGGCCCAGCCTCCCAGGCGCCAGACAGAGGATGGCCGTTCTCCTCACACAGGGACAGAGCAGCCTCGACTACAGCTGCATCCAGTGCCTCTGCAGCCTCATCTGCCTGTTGAAAAAGAAAGATGACAACTTAAACATACATCTTAAAAAATACTGTTTAAAAAACGTGGATATTACTTTTAAAGTTCACAAAGTTCCTAAAACTCAACAATGATTTTGGTGAGTAAACTGTTGTAACAACTCACTGGATTAATGACAAAAATAAGAATACCCGGACTGTAAATGAACTTATTTCTTCGTTTAAAACCTCAAACTGGTGTCATAAATTATTTAGTTTCTTCATAACTGATCTCAGTTCTGTGAAAATACATAGTACTTTTTGCACCTTGTCCTCAATGATGGCGATAATGTCCCCCATTGTCTTTAGGTCCAGCTCATCGCCCATGTAGGACACAGTCACATCCTCTTCACTGAGCTGTGACACCTTATCCTCTGCAGAGACAGATGGTACCACCCCATCCACGTCTGGACACAGACAACAACTGGTTTTCAGCCTTTTGTTTTCAAGGTACAATTTTAACCTTGTAGTAATGGTACTTCGTTTATTCCTATGTCACAGCATACTTAGTTCAAGTTTTATTAGTAGATTGTTTTTAAATTTTAACCACAATAAATCTTAACTCTAGCTGGGTTTTATCTTAGTGAACATTTAACAGTGGCTTTTACAGTAGTTAGAGTTAATACAATTTTTAGTATCACAGGCATTTATTCACTTCACTTCAATGTACAGAATTGAGCAACAGCAGTTGGGATTTTGGAATAACTGAAAAGTAATATGTAAAACTTATTCTTGTGTCCAGACCGCATCACAGACTGATCACTAAATAGGCCTAATTAATCCTTAATTCTACTTTTGCAATTTGAGGAATACAGTTAACAGTTTTATAAATAACATTATATTGCATATTTGCTGGTGTTAGAGGAAATGGCCAACAGAGGGTGTGAATTTCAGTGGTTTGGATTCAGACAGACCTGTACTTGCTGAGGCAGTAGAATCAACAGGAACCGAAGCAGCAGAGGAGAGAGGAGCACTGGAGGTAGAGTCTGCACTGAAACCTAACGGTGCAGAAAACTGGGTGGGACATACCTCTAGGAGGCGCGACAGCATTGGGGCACCTACAGAGCAAGCATTTACACACACACACACACACACACACACACACACACACACACACACTTACATGTTAAGTGCAGAATGCAAACAAAGCAGTGGAGGCTTTCAGCTAGCAAACAGCTTAAATAATTGTATCACCATTCTAGAAAGCATGCATAAATATATTTAGTAATCAAGAAGTAAAACTAACAAATACAAAGTCTGTTCCTACAATTAAAGCTAAAATGCCTATAAACCACATACAACCCTCTTAGAGGTTTTGGTGTCAAAAGAAATTCTACTAAATAAATGAACTCTTATTCAAGTATCTCTACCTGTTGCCTGAGAGAGAGGTGGAGTCATCTGCATGTCGTGTGCTCCTGTCATATTGCCAGGGGACACCTCACCCTCACCAATCTGGGATATAAACAAACATTTCACTTGTAATTAGTATCTTTTCTTGTACATGAAGTTTACATCAAGTATTAAAAAGACCAACTTGCACAAAAAATCCATTACATCAAAGTGAATTTTTTAATTGCAATACATAATTTCATATATAATGTATGTCTAAAGCTGAATGTAAGGAGGCAAGGATCTAGAAAAGGATAAAAGGATGAACACACTAGATTTCATCAAATAGAAATGAAGAAAACAAAGCAAAAGGAAAAAATGGACAATTTCAGGAAGCAACTATCCAGCAACTGCTCAAAAAGAACCCTGGTCTGATGTGTTAACTGTCAAAAGGTAAAGTTATATTTGTTGACGTTAGTACACATCACCACAGACTGAAGTAATAAACAGAAATATGGATGACTCTGCGTAGCACAGCCCTGAACCACATTTAAAATGTGGATGAATTAACTGAAGACTGTTGCTCACATGTGGGCTCCATCCAACTTTACAAAGATTGAGTAAATCTAAAACATCCCAACACTGAGATGGTCTAAGGTGGAAAGAGACCGGGTGTTAAATATCAAACAAAATGTCTGCATTCCAAATTAAATACATTTACAAAAATGACAAATGTTAACACAACTGGAAAACTACCAACAGCTACTGTACCAAAACCACAAAATGGAATGGACGACAAATGATTAAATACAGTGCCTTGCGAAAGTATTCATTCAGCCCCTTTACTTTCAGTGCAGCAAACTCTCTCCAGAAGTTCAGTGAGGATCTCTGAATGATCCAATGTTGACCTAAATGACTAATGATGATAAATAGAATCCACCTGTGTGTAATCAAGTCTCCGTATAAATGCACCTGCACTGTGATAGTCTCAGAGGTCTGTTTAAAGCGCAGAGAGCATCATGAAGAACAAGGAACACACCAGGCAGGTCCGAGATACTGTTGTGGAGAAGTTTAAAGCCGGATTTGGATACAAAAAGATTTCCCAAGCTTTAAACATCCCAAGGAGCACTGTGCAAGCGATAATATTGAAATGGAAGGAGTATCAGACCACTGCAAATCTACCAAGACCTGGCCGTCCCTCTAAACTTTCAGCTCATACAAGGAGAAGACTGATCAGAGATGCAGCCAAGAGGCCCATGATCACTCTGGATGAACTGCAGAGATCTACAGCTGAGGTGGGAGACTCTGTCCATAGGACAACAATCAGTCGTATACTGCACAAATCTGGCCTTTATGGAAGAGTGGCAAGAAGAAAGCCATTTCTTAAAGATATCCATAAAAAGTGTCGTTTAAAGTTTGCCACAAGCCACCTGGGAGACACACCAAACATGTGGAAGAAGGTGCTCTGGTCAGATGAAACCAAAATCGAACTTTTTGGCAACAATGCAAAACGTTATGTTTGGCGTAAAAGCAACACAGCTCATCACCCTGAACACACCATCCCCACTGTCAAACATGGTGGTGGCAGCATCGTGGTTTGGGCCTGCTTTTCTTCAGCAGGGACAGGGAAGATGGTTAAAATTGATGGGAAGATGGATGGAGCCAAATACAGGACCATTCTGGAAGGAAACCTGATGGAGTCTGCAAAAGACCTGAGACTGGGATGGAGATTTGTCTTCCAACAAGACAATGATCCAAAACATAAAGCAAATTCTACAATGGAATGGTTCACAAATAAACATATCCAGGTGTTAGAATGGCTATGTCAAAGTCCAGACCTGAATCCAATCGTGAATCTGTGGAAAGAACTGAAAACTGCTGTTCACAAACGCTCTCCATCCAATCTCACTGAGCTCGAGCTGTTTTGCAAGGCGGAATGGGCAAAAATTTCAGTCTCTTGATGTGCAAAACTGATAGAGACATACCCCAAGCGACTTACAGCTGTAATCGCAGCAAAAGGTGGCGCTACAAAGTATTAACTTAAGGGGGCTGAATAATTTTGCACGGCCAATTTTTCAGTTTTTTATTTGTTAGAAAAGTTTGAAATATCCAATAAATTTCGTTCTACTTCATGATTGTGTCCCACTTGTTGTTGATTCTTCACAAAAAATTACAGTTTTATATCTTTATGTTTGAAGCCTGAAATGTGGCAAAAGGTCGCAAAGTTCAAGGGGGCCGAATACTTTCGCAAGGCACTGTACTTCCTTGATGCACAGTTACTCTACTAAGGATGAGATTATTGTCAGACCTGAACATATTAATTACTGAGTCTGGCACTATTGGCATAATACTGTAAGTCCTCTCAACATACCAATCTGGAATTTGAGGCCAAGATACTGCCTTTCTTCAGCAGCTCTGACAGGAGTGGAGACGGTGCTGGTGTGGCTTTCTGGCCCAAAAGCTTCTTTTGGTTGGGGTCATCTAGAACAGACCCATGGCTAACAGCCTCACTACCAAGTCCACAAGACTCAGCGAATGTCATTAACCTGGCTGATCCTGAAGCCTAGAGGGAAATATGAAGACATACTGCCAATCCAGGGATGCTTTCACTGAATGATGTGAAACCACCTCACTTAAGTGTCTCTTAGGCATTCCCCACTCCCATTTTAAGGAGGATAATTAATAAAGTTTGATTCTAATTCTACAGTTTGCCATGGCTAAACACATGGTTTCTAGTATTTCCAATAAAAGCAAAAGGGCTTTAGCAAATTTACACAATGTGGCACACAAGACTGGTCTGCAGCAGTCTTGACAAAACATACAGATTCTTAACATAGGCATTACACCAACTAAAAATATCAACAAATGTTTTTAAATATCCCAAGAGGAGGTCTGATTATTGAAAAGCAGGACAGACCTTGCATAGCCTTGAAACGTCAGTGACTTACATTCTTTGCAGATGTAAGATCCGGTGTCAGGCACTCGGGTTGGTCGCCTGGAGAGAACTCCTGGCTTGGAGAGCTACAGTCTGAGGGCAAATGCATAATGATACCGGGCACTCGCTTAGATGTGTTCTTTGCCACCTGTCTGGCTGAAAGAGGGATGGGCAGCAAAGAGAGGCATTTTATTCATATTCATACAAAAACTGAGGAGTGTTTTCTTTTTATTAAATACCAAACAAGTGCTATGATTGTCCTAATTTTAGTCATGCTAGCAGCATGGCTCTGGTTTGTCTACCATCCCAAATCTTGGGTAAAATATCCTGACAACTACTGGACATGTTACTATGAAATTTAGTGCAAATATTCATGAATCCTAGACTGACTGAATTATTTACTTTGTTTAACCAAGGGAACAATCCCTTGAGATCTGAGAGCTCTTTTACAAGGGTGCCCTGGCAAGACAGCGGTGTTAAAATGAATGTGTTCCCCTGACTTACAGTAGTAGTGTCACCAGTAAGTCAGATTTTCCACTTGTCCAACACTCAGTTCATGACAGAGTACATCTACAACAACTGACCAGCCTCCTGCGTGGTTGACACAAATTACAGTCAGCATTGCCACATACTACATGTTAGCATGTTATATTTTACTACAGTATGTTAATGTGCTAGCTATATGCTACCAGCTTCACAAACTAATATCCTTCTATCCATTAGTTACGCCCACTTATCCTTGATGATCGTGGTGTGGCTGGAACCATGGAGATATTGGGTAAGATGCCAGGTAACACCCTGGACAGGTGACCAGTCCATGACAGGGTTGACGGATACAGACAGACAACCGTTAACACTCATTCACACCTACACAATTTAAAGTCACCAATTAATGTAACATGTATGTGGGAGGATGTTGGAGCACCAGGAAGAAACCCACGCAGGAATGGGGAGAACATGCAAACTCCACACAAAGGCACCAACCAGCCTGTAGGTTCGACAGCGCTAACCCCTGCTCCTCTGACCTTCCAACTCTCCAAATGCAAAGCATTAATGCTAACTGTGGGCCGTGCTGAGGTTCACTCAACTGACTGAGAAATTGGATCTGAGATGTCCTAAAATGGCCATTGTACTGTTTTCCATAAGAAACCCTGCAATTTATTGTATGGTGACACATGATTCTATACTGATGTTTTCCCTAAAAATGTCTCTTAAAAGTGAAGGAGATACCCTGATACACAGCATCTGTGTTTTTTCTTTTCAGTTCTGCTTCCTCCTCCTCCAGCTTCTTCTTCCTGAGAAACACACATAAGAACACTTAAACCTACAGTATATAACCTTTTTCAAAATATTGTTGTTGCAGGAATATGCTCCAAAACTTGTCTTAATGTGGAAAGGTGCTGTCAAAGTGAGAGGGAGTGCTGGGCAGAGCAGAGTGGATTGATTTGGAGTTTCATGTTAGAGCCACCTTAATTTACCTACAGTAGCTATAAGATTGCTCATTATTACTCATTATCACAGAGTCTCTAATGTCTGCTGTAGGTTTTACTGTGTCATTGTGTAAACGGGTCACACAGAAAGTACTCTGCTTCTTACTGGAGAATGTCTTCCCATAACTCTTCTAGTTTGGAATCTAGATGTCCTGCTTGAATCAGTTCAGCCTCTTTTTTCAGCTTCCTATGAAAACAGCACAGAGTCAGCCCATCTCAGTGATGCAGCTTTGAGGCAACAGTGGTGATGTGTTCGTTCTGTTAAACACCATGTTTACATACCTGTGCATCTCCTGAGTTTCTTTGATCAACTTCTTCAGTTCGTCGATCCTCTCAGCAGTCAGCCTGCGTACTATCACATCCTCTACTGTCTCCACCACTTCACCTTTCTCGCCACGCTTCCTCCTAAAGGCAACCAATGCGGTATTATAGTACTGTAGTTATAGACATTGTTTCCCGACACTAACTGTCAAAGCATGTGTCAAACAATATAGACCTATGCAACCTATTTTAGCTTGCAGGTCTACAAAGGCATGCTCGAGGTAAAATTCATTTATGTGCTCACTTTGGGGCCTCTGTCGTTTCCAGGAGCTCAGAGTACTTGGAGGCACAGTGCTGTGAGAAGCCAAAGGAGAATCAAGAACTGCCTTGTGATGGGACAAAACAAAATGTGATAGAGATCATGACTTTGGAATGTGTTCTGCAGTTGAGTGAGCTCAGATATTAGTCATACCTTTTGAGAGAACCAGTCAGGTGGGCGCCCAGGTTCTGCAAATGGTTTGATGGCTCGGCTGACAGATACCCTGGTGAGATGAAGACATTTTGTAAAATGATCCAAAATGAAATGAAAACATTTTTCAAGACTAAATCCTAAACATCCTACTATTTCTGTCTTGTTTAAATTCCCCTACAACCCCTTGACTTTGCATGAAGGCTGAAGTGAGTGTTCCAGCCAGACGAGGGTGGCCTAGCAAGCAGTGCCACATGACGAGCCTGCGAGCCGTGTCCTGAGTGACTGAGAAGCAAGCAACTGGCAGTGTGACAGACCTGTGGTTCCCTGCCTTTATTGTAGACTGAATGTGAGAGTTGGACCTCTCTCCCTTCTGTCCTAACCAGATGAGAAACATTGACTGCTCCTGTTATTCTCCCCAGCTCAGCTATCTTTTAATTTCCTGCTCTGGTCAAATTAGCCATAGACACCTGTAACTTCTGGTGGTTTTTAACAGATGGGTAATAACACCAGTCCATAATGGGGTTAACACAGAGAGACAATCAGGTTAATTCATCTTATTGGCATGTCTTTCAACTGTGACAGGAAGCCACAACAACCCCCCTTGAATGACAATGGTTTTTCTTACAAGATAAATTTAAGTAAAAGAATCTACATTGCCATATGGCTCGTGATGTATGACAACCCATGTTCAAACTTCTGACTACATCATAGACCTATGACAAATCAAATTTTGCACACACCAACATTACCAGCAGCAGCTTTAAACTACTGTGACAAAAATCTAAGAAAATACCAGTTCTGGTCTCCGCTCTTCATGACAGATGTGGCCAAACACAGCTTCTCCCTCACTGACCATGGCTCTGTTGGTCCAATGACAGGCAGCTTGTGTTCTATAGATGATGGAAAATGGACAGAAACATGACACCAGCTATATAGTTTAACCAAGAATGGTACAGACAGTTGTTTTAATCTCTTGAGTTGCCAGGTAAAGACTCTCCCCGTGCCAGTCACTATAACTGCTGGGACCAGTACACAACGGGCACGTCGGTAACAGTTAGTGATAAACAGTAACCACCAGCACTAATGTAAACAAAGCTGTCAACTCTTGATGGCAGGCATTAATCCTTGTAGTCACACCTGCAGGGAGCGGAAGGTGCAATGCAGGAAGTTAGTAGCGATAATATCAGTACGACGCTGTCACCGCTAACGGATAGCATGTCATGACATTACCGACGTTACTCACTTCCAACCCCGTTTGCCATCTTCCTCTCATCCCGACATCCCATACGTCTTGGTAGATGGAACCCTGGCTATCATTAATGCTGGCGAGATCCAGAATCGGTGGCTATACATAAAATCAACGATGTTAACATCAATGTATGCCCCAAGGAGGTTGGGGCTGTCACGCCAAATCGCCGCTGTCCTTTCCAGTCTTGTGCCTTGGCTGTTGGTAACCGGAGGATTAGCCTAACTAGCTAGCTGGCTGCGATGCTACGGCACACAGGGCTTTCTCCGTCAAGAGTCGCAAAAGCTTTTTAATTCCACTTTAACTTCGGGAGATTAACAGCTAGGCGAGAACATCGAACTTAATGTTTAGGTTTAGTCTCTAGCGTTATTTAACTGTCCCATAACAAAATAAAAGAGGCATCTATTAAAATTCTGCACCGGATATACTCAGTTAAAGATGTATTAGAAAGGCTTAGATTTGATATTGAATATCCCTGCGATGTATGTGGTCTGCTAAGAGGAACTATTTCTCATTTAATTTTTCATTGCATGTATAACAAGGTATTTTGGGCAGGCACTGAAATTTTCATTTGAAAAAGACTACAGGAAAAAGACTATTTTTGGCTTCGAAGATAATTTGGTGGACAAGGATTTTGTTTATTTTTCGCAGTTCATCAAAATAAAAGGGAAATTGCACATAGCCTACATGTAAGAATTTTATGAATATGAAAATGTATGAATTGTATGAATATGGCACTACACTCAAAACTGTCAAGTTGTTAAATCTGATCTATGTACATGATTTATCTCTTATGATTTTCATGTTTTGTTTTTTTTTACTTTGAATAATCTAAATGTTTATTTTAGTTTATACATACTGCTATTCCCCTGGCAGAGGCAGTGTTGTGTGTGTGTGTGTGTGTGTGTGTGTGTGTGTGTGTGTGTGTGTGTGTAAGAACACTGTGTTTTACATGTGTGTGTAAAAGTACTTTGTGTTACAGTAAACTAGTAGCTAGCTGTTTGTACACCCCCACCACAGTAATGATGGTACAACCCCCAGACATTCTGCCCTCTGGTTTCATTGATCATAAGTCATCTGTCATAAATCAACAATAAAGAGGAGACCTGATGGATGGGTGGTAAGCGTGTATTCTTACTAAGAAGGTACCACAGAATCAAAGCATTTCCCACTTGAATTATGCAACATGACACTGGGCAAATTATGTTTTTGGGCCACTGGTGACAAGGGTTGGTTTGGTGAAGCAGTGGCTCTTTCTCTTCATATGGACCCATGTATTTTACAGAGAAAGGCAATTAAAGTACTACAGGAAACAAATGTTAATGAGGCACTTGACATTTAACTCCATAACACTGCCACTTTGCCTCCTGCTGCTGTGTGGAATAACTGTCAGCTCCACAGGGAGGATATGGCTAGCGTTGTAGAGGATAGCTTCAGCATGAGACAAATAATTCACTTGTCTGAGAAAACTCACACCTTGACAAACACTCAATCACTTACCACTGGACTTTGATAAGATTTTGTCATTAAAGATGAATTTCCTTTTTATGTTAGACCACACCCTGTTGATGTGCAACACGTGTCTAACCCTTTGCGGAGACTGAGTCTATTAAGCATCCACTTTTTTTGAAATATATTTTTAAGAGAGGTGCACTCCTATATCCGTTGAATATTTGCCCTTTTCATACAGGAATTAGAAGCATTTTGTCTGCTTAACAGCATAAGAAACAAATTTCTGTTGATAAGATTTATTAATTATTTAGTGTTAGTAAGAATACTGTGAGCCCAATGAGACAACAATAAATGCACTTGATAAATGTATATTGAAATGTAAAAGACTTTATATTTGCTTAAGAACTAATTCCAAACAGGAAAATTAATTAAAGTAATGAAAAACAACCTTGCTTATTCTCCTGAGACCCTCTTCATTACAGTCTAATGCATTTTCAGGTGTTAGAAAAAAACACGTCTGTATGTTAAATACACTCATTGTACTTCCTATTTAGGCTCTTTTTAAAAACCAGATAAGGGTCTCCTATATTATCTCAGGTAGGTGAGTGATAGAGACTCAAGATGAAGGTCACACCACATGATGCCTCTAACTGCTGCACGGAGCCCATCCTGGGGGCAGAACCACAGCTAATTATTTGAAGGAGGGAACCTAGTGAAGGTTTCCTCCTCATCTTTGCCATTAATCTTGCTTCATTTGTAACTGTAAGTTGGTGTTGAGGACCCTAAGTCAAGCGGACCTTTACTCCAGGAGCCCAGTTACAGCTGCAGTCAGTCTTGTGGTGAGTGAGATTGTATATTGTTACATATCTCTACTGTTTCTATTTTATCTACTTTTGTACAGATGCATGGGACCATCTTATATTAGACCATATACCTCTACATATCTCTGCATGTGTTCTGATAGTGGGAGCATGTTTCACAAGTATGAACTATAGTAGTAGGTAGCAATTACTTGTATTAACAGAACTGAAGCAAACCTCATACTCACAGAAAGTGACAAATAAATAGAGGACCTTTTGTTGTTGCTGACTAGTGATGCTTTTCATGTGCTGCCCTCTAAGAGGTTCAGCAAGGTTAATCTTTCTCATCTACAATATACCAACAACTAAGCAGCATAATAGTAGCTGTGTAGAAACAACAGTGGAGTGATAGGATTAATAGCAACTTTCTACATCTGCACTTTATGACAAACGTATTAATCAAGAGCAATAAGATAATGTTAGGTGTATCTACATTCTCAGCTAGTGGGTGACCCCCAGGGAGGGCCACCCTGCCTTCACTCCCCTGCCCTTCTCCTTTGAGACTCACCCAAGTGCCACTTGCAGCTGAGACCCAAGGAGCAGAATTAACAAACAAATTGAAACAGACTCCAACCTCGGCACAGATACTCTATTTGTCACGCACTGTGTATTTATGTTTACATTTTTCTTTCACTTTGTTTCTTCATCAGTGATGCGTACTGTTCTTTTTTGTCTGATAATTCAGCGTCTGATCACTTGCTGTAGGCTGACTGACTTCAGGGGGAAGCGTCAGGATGTCTAACAACATGGCCAAGATTGCAGATGCTCGAAAGACAGTAGAGCAATTGAAACTGGAGGTCAACATAGAGAGGATGATGGTGAGCCAGCACATTCTTGAAGTACAAGGCCAAGTAACTATGGAAATGTTTATCACAACGCTTTAGACTGTTAAATATCTTATGCATTAATATGGAGGTTTAAAGTCAAAATAAAAAATTTAAAAATGCACTATTTCTATCTCTAAAGCAGTTTACTCTCAGGTATATACATGAGTTGTTTTTTTTCCCCAAATGTTTACTTTATGCAAAGTAGTTCATTTTTAACCATGTACCAACAAACACAAATTTAACATTCCAATCAACAGTATCACAATTTTTCAAAACTTGGATTTCAGTTGAATTGAACCGTCTTCCCTTCCATAACTAATGTCATGTTTCAAGAGGAAATACATCAAATTAAGGAAGTCAGGTGTTCTTTGAGTTTTTAAATCAACACCCTCTCCTTTTTAACACTCATACACACTTTAATGTGACCTTTTTGTACAGATATCCAAAGCAGCAGCTGAGCTGATGGCCTACTGTGAAGCTCATTCAAAAGAGGACCCCCTGGTGACACCTGTGCCTTCTTCTGAGAACCCATTTCGGGAGAAGAAATTATTCTGTATAATACTTTAACCCCTACATGCACAAGATAAACAAACTGACACTTAATTATTTTAATGTGTAAATTCAATGTCAAAGAACAAAACCATTTCATAATATTCAGTTTTGTAGGTCTTTGGTGACTAACATTATCTAAAGAATGATTATCATTGAGCATGATAATTACAGCAATAAAGATTTATTGAAAATTGGTGCAAAGTTCATTTAAACAGGCCACTGTTGCTGCCTCTCCTTGTGCACACAGTTTATATATTAACTAATTTCTATACCTAATGCCAGGTATCACTGAATGTGTTTTGTGCTCCAAAGCTTTAAACCTATAATTAAACAAAATCTTTGATTATATCTTGGAATAAATGTTTTAGTTGTAAGGTATAAATTTTGAAGGCAAATTAATAACATGATGAAATTTGTGGTTTACTTTTATTTCCTTGTCATATTTTCACAGCATGAACATTCTCCATGCTTAAGCTGACACGAATATGCGTGGAAGACTATTTGTTTAATATACATCCTGAATAAACAACATGATCTTTACTCACGTACTGGTTTTGTGCCTTAGTGGCACAGCAGATATTCCCAGGAGGTTGTCCCTTAGCCACCAATACAAATGATGGGTTGGGCAAAAGTGGTGAACTTAGAAGTGTGTGTAGCCAGCAGGTGTGTGTAGTTTGCACAGAGCATGGTGCTCTCACTGTGACAGCTGACAAGTCTCACAGATTTCCAGATACTGTATCTCCTGAGCTTTGGGGAATTAGTAGCTGAAAATTAGGTATGTACACTCTGCTATCCATTTATTATACTGTAACTAAAAGAATAAAGCTTAGCAGGAACAGTTTACCAATGCTTTAGATGTATAAATGATATTTGCAGTTACAGTTTAGTCTTTCATACAATGTATTATAACCCCAAGTCGGAAAAAGCCTCCGAGCCCAGAGCAGTCGACTGTGCTTCTGGACACTGTTGACTTAGGGCTTCCTTTTGGCACAATGCAGTTTTAAGAGGCATTTATGGATGTAATCAAGTATTGTAATGGCTGACACAGGTGTGCCAAAGTAATCCTGAGCCCATCTTTGCTCCTAAAGGGCTAGGCCTTTTTATTAGACACCGTTTTTGCACCAGATCATGATTGCATTCACCTGCTGACATCAACTGTTTCAAATGGAAACATCATTTCATTGTTTTACCTCATTACTGGCCCTGAAATGCAGCCGTCCCAATGTTTTTAGAATGTGTTGCAGCTTCAGAACTAAAGTGACTGTAGCTACAAACTACATATACATGCCTGTACATGATACTTGATGTTGAAATTGAGATTAAAAGTAAAGAAAGAAACAAATGTTTATGTAGCAGCACCAATTCAAACAGGCCTGTTCAAGAAAAACCTGTTTGACTGAAAATCACTTCTTAAGCTTCTTGCCAATTGTCACTGAAAACAGTAAGAGAAAGTGGCCAAGCTTAAAAGCATTGATTCACACACACACAAATCCCTTAAAGGCCACCTTAGGAGTACCCATGGTGCAAGAAATGTCAGGTTTTTTAATATTTGATATAAATATGTCAGTGGTACTAGTATTGAAAGCACCTTGCTTAGCTGTTCATATTAGTAAAAACAACCTGCCTTGCTAAAGCTGTCCAAACAGCTCTGCTTGATTTGAATTTCGTTTTTGCAAGACAAATGAGCAGCTATATCCTGGATCAAAGGGCGTACTGTATTTTATGAACCTGCAACAGTCAGATAAAATCCAGCACCCTGATCTCCAACTGAGCGATAAACCTTTGCTGCCATCACATCTCAGGATTTAGTGACGAACATACTGGTATTAGACAAAACCAATGTTTTGGCCCAAAACAAACTGCATCTCTTTCTATTCTTAGAAGTGATGCTTTCAAATGAGAATATTTCCAGCATTTTTATTTATGCTCGTCATAAAAAAATGGCAAGAGCTGTTTATGTGACTATATAACAGATTTATCTGCTACTTTGCAATAAAGTTTACATGTGACTGTCTCACTGTCAGCTGCTCATTTTAGTTGTCTTTCCTTTAATTGACATTGCTTATGATTAAATTGCTCAAAACACCATAAAATAAAGCTACAAGACTTAAAGTACCAAACTTTAACTTCAAAATGGAGCCATTCACATTCGAGTTAAAATAATGCACATTGTGTTTCTCTCAAATAAGTGGTATTTATAATTGAGGTGTGTTTCTTATGGTTTCAGGTATAAAAAATGGCCAACTTTGGAGGACATGCCATTCCTGGCTCTTTTTTCTTGCTCTATGGCTTTTGGCTAACAGTTAAACACGTCCTCCAACACTTCTGGAGGACACATCAGCCCAAAGGACGACAGAATATGCCACCTTTCTTTAAAAAAATTGACTATGTTGAGGGAGGACTCCAAATCTTTGCTGCGTTTGTGGGTCAGTCTTTCTCTCAATCCAGCTGCACACTTCAGCTCTCTATACCTGTTCTTGACTCATCTCATTTGGCTTATGTGTTCTTGCCACAGGTATCATGGTTGAACAGTTTGTGGTAGATGGACCACATGCCCACCTCTACACTAGCGAATCTTGGGTCAAGCCAATGAACTGGCAGCACAGCACAATGTATCTGTTCTTTGGGATCAGTGGAATAGCAATGGTTGCCAGTACTAGATGCAAACTGGTGCCAACTGGTGTTGACCGCCTTGCTCTCTCTTTGGCTCTTTTTGTTGAAGGTAAGCTGTAAAAAAGCTAGGTTTTAATTGTGCAGTTTTCCTTCACATTGCAAATATGTCATATATATTTGATATGTGTTTGAGCTGTGTTTTGCATTTGAGTCTTTCTGTATCATCCAGGGTTTTTGTTCTATTACCATGTGCACAATCGGCCCCTTCTGGATGCCCATATCCACAAACTGGTGCTAGTGCCTGTGTTTGGTGGATCAGCTAGCACTATGTTGGAGGTGTTCATAAGAGATAACATTATTTTGGAGCTACTGAGGGCATGTCTGTTCATCCTGCAGGGCTCGTGGTTCTACCAGGTGATTAGCAAAATGAGACACAAAATGTGATCATCATTTTTATTTTCAGATTCACAGCCGCTTGGTACCACATAGTACTGATGTACACTCAATACCAAAAATCAGGGAATACTTAAGACCACAGCAGTGACTTTTAAAGTATACTTTAAACTACTGTTAACCATGCACCAAAACTATGATTTTCAGTCATATTTTGGACAGGCAACAGATTAATTAATCTTTATTATTTTTCAGTACCAAAGTAGTTTGATCTTGGCGTATTTGTAGAAAGTTGAAGATTACTTTAGATTCAGATCACAGACAGGCTCCTTCATCACACTGTCATTTCAGATTGGATTTGTACTTTACCCATTACGTGGACCAGCATGGGACTCGAACGATGGAAACGTCATGTTCATCACTATGTGCTTCTGCTGGCATCTAGCTGTGGCCCTGCTTTTAGTCGCTTGCACCTCCATCGTGGTTTGGTCGTAAGTATCAGTACATTTTACCCAGTATATTGTGTACTTGGTACTTAATGTGCAGAGGAAATGATAAGTGATCACAACATTGCTTAGGTTGATCTCACAAGATCACTTCAGTTAGTAGAATAGCACGGTGGCTGTGATTAATTCTAAGGGGAGGTTTCCAGCACCACAAAACAATAGCCTGTTAACACAGCTGGAATGCAGAAATAATATGAGCCTGTTGTGACTCATGGTCAGGCAGAGACACTCAGCCAAAACAAAAGGAATGAGCTGTACTCTTTGCATTAATAATACAGTGCATCTAGAAAGGATTCACAGTGCTTACCTTTTTCCACATTTTGTTAGGTTACAGCTTTATTCAAAAATGGATTAAATTCATTATTGTTCTCAAAATTCTACAAACAATACCCCATAATGCCAACGTGAAAAAAGTTTGTTTGAAATCTTTGCAAATTTATAAAATAAAAAATCACATAAGTATTCACAGCCTTTGCTCAATACTTTGTTGAAGCACCTTTAGCACCAATTACAGCCTCAAGTCTTTTTGAGTATGATGCTACAAGCTTGGCACAACTATTTTTGGGTAGTTTCTCCCATTCTTCTTTGCAGTACCTCTCAAGCTCCATCAGGTTGGATGGGGAGCGTTGGTGCACAGCCATTTTCAGATCTCTCCAGAGATGTTCATCAAGGATGTGTCTGTATATTGCTGCAGTCATCGGTCCCTCGATCCTGACTAGTCTCCCAGTTCCTGCCACTGAAAAACATCCCCACATCATGATGCTGCCACCACCATGCTTCAGTGTAGGGATGGTATTGGCCAGGTGGTGAGTGGTGCCTGGTTTCCTCCAGACATGAGTTCAGGCCATTGTGCTCATTGGGACTTTCAATGCTGCATCTTATCTAACTTTGGTAGAGTGAGTAAGTGTTTTTTTTTTTTTTTTAAGTGAGATGACTGAGGAAAAACAGGAGTAGGATGGATTGTCACTGTAGTTTGAAGACATGCTTCATTTTCTTGTAGCTAGTGTGGATCTCCCAGCTGGTGTTACTGAGGGACAGGGGGTCCTCGCCATAAGTCACTCCATGGCCAACGCTTTTGGCATCCTTATAGGCTGAGAGCAGCCCTGGCTTTAGCACACAGTACAATGGGGGGAGATATCATCATCGTCCCCACAATCGGAGATTGAAGATCACAAAATTCATGCCGGTTGATTTTCTGACAGCCTATTCTAGGATCATGACTAAGATAGAACTCTGTGAAGTAAAGTGCCTCCTGATACTGGCAAGCTGAGAAAGGTGTGATAAAGGAAGTGGTACCTGTAATTACCTGTCAGGAGGATTCCCAGCTTGTCCAGTCACTGTATGAGCGCTTGAGAAGCCAAGTAGTGTGAACGCCAGCATAAAGCATAGTAAAATTTTCTCAAAGTCCTTTAGAGTGTGACCAAGGTCAACTGAGTACATGCAAGGCAAGCTCTTGTTCACAGTGCAGTTCCTTAGGATTTAAATAAAGTAATATTTAAAAAATTAACTATATTTACAAGTTCTCACTTTATGTGCTATATTGGCCTTCTTCCTGGTGCAAGAAAACCTAATTGATGTGTATATACATTTTTTTTTTTCCAATCAGAGGACAACAAACTCGCCTACACAATCAGGGTCATGGAGCTCATTTTCATAATACATTGTCTATTCAGTAGTGATGCCAAAGTAAATGTTGGTCTCACTATTGAATGGACCTAGACAATATTAACTTTGTGATATTTAGGTATTTTATTGAACGATGAATCTGTTAAGAGTTCCACCTCACACGCTATGAAAACGAGCTCTTTGACCCTGATTACGTGCACATACCAGGTGTGTTTATTGTCCTCTGATTGGAAGGTTCTTCCCTGGGTCGGTTCCTTGGTCTATACTGATGAAGGTCTTCGAACCAAAACACCGACTAAAGTGAGTACAAGTGATGAGCAGTGTGCAGGATATGTATTGTGTTTGTATAGAGTTTTAAAAATTTAGTTTAACAAAATGTAGCATAGAAATATACAGAGCATGCCAAACCTTTTGAGTTTTAATCTCATCTTTCAACATGTATATTAAGATACTGTGTGAAGTTTTTATAGTCAATATGGTTTTGTTTACCTTCAACACTTTTCACCAAACACACTCTCTCCTTACGGCCTTCTAAATAATGTGTACCAGCTGGTCTTGATTTAGTTCTTTTGAATACATTTTAGATATCTGGCTTTCTCTGTGACATACTGCTCTGTAGGAACACTGAACATGATTAGTTGACTCTGAACAGGCATTCTGTTGTAAATGTGAAATCTTTGTCGTTCATGCGTTTCCTAAAACCTTTTTCTCTTGTTTCAATAGCACAGTGAGGCGATTCTCAGGAAGGCAACTGGACACAGAGATTGGAATGCGAAACACGTCCTCCAAAACAAGCTCCCAGAAAGCCTTGCTTGAAGAATCGGATGAAGAGTGAATGCTTCTTTATAATTTATGAAGTTGTGACTTTTGAGATTATATTTAGGTAAAATACCAACAGAGTAACTGGTCTTTTATTAGTTTGTCAACCACTGAAGGAAAATGTAACCAGAGTTTCTATGGAAAGGCTGCAACCTACCTGAACATGGTTCTCGTTGTAAAAAGCAAAGCGAGCTGTTTTACATTATATTTTGGATTTAATGATGCAGAGTATAAGATTTTGGAGATGAAATTTAGTTGAGGAATGATGACAGTTTAACAAACTGATAACTTGGCATAGATCAATAACATTCAACAAAGAAAGTGTAGATCTGAACACCAGAATTATGAATTATGCTTCAGGCCTTAGTTGGTATCATCCGAATTGAGAAGAAATAAAGGAATATTATGCACCATAACAATGAAAAATATAACGTCACTTCTGAGAGTAGAAACAAGTCAAACTACCCTTATAAGGCTTGAGAACAAACAAACTCAAATAACCAAACACATGTACATATATTGTGCACTGGATTTATGATTACTGTTGCGGTGCAGGTGGGGGATCGGGTGCACATTTGGGTGAAGGTGCTGTTGTGACTACAACTGTGGAAACAGATTTTGGGGAGCCTGCTGCAATGTGCTGCTGGAGCTGCTGCGCCTGAACAGTTTGGATGCGAACCTAAAGATGGAGAGATTAAGAGTTACCTTGAACATGCCCTGTGTTCAATTAAGTTGAGCAATGTTTAGTCATAACAAACTGACTGAGAAACTTTCAAATGATGCCTTCAGATAACATGAGTGACATATTAAAAACCTGCTTTGCTGTGATATTAGTATAGACTTATTGTATATGACCACAAAGCAAGGTACTGGATGAGAATTTGTTTTGATTAAACAGGTGTAATAAAACACATTATTCCCTTTTTCTGGTCAGTGCTTTCTAATTTGTGAAACTGAACAAAGGTGAAATGTGAGCTAACCTGAGTGGCCTGCCCTTGCTGCTGAAGCTGCTGAAACTGCTGTGCTGTGACAAAGCTGACTGGTTTGTTCCCAGCAATCAGCTTTGTGCCAGCTGGCATCGTGGTCAGGATGATGTTCCTCCCCAAACTGCTGATACTGCAGGGGAAGGATAAATACATGTCAGTCTACTAGACCAAATTACAGCCTATAGAAAAGGAGCCTGTAAAAAGAGTGTCTATCAAAAAATATATAATTCATTTTGTCACTATATAAATATTCAAAGAAAAAAAAAAAGACATGACAGTGTACATGATGTGACTTACTTTGTGTTAAGACTTCCTTTCACAATCGGTGTGGTCACTACACTCTTGCTCTTCAGTGGCTGGTTGAGGACAGAGAGGGGCACAGTGATTCGTGCAGGTAACTTCCCCTGCAATGTTGTCAAAGAAGAGGAAGGTTTTGTGAGTCACATGACTTTCAGACTGTGTGGTTAACTACTGAGACCTGACTGAGGAGAGTTTCTTAAATTAAAGGAAGTCACTAGTTGTAAAGTAAATAATCCCATTTCTGAGAAAGGAATACACAAAGCAGGTTCAGCCAGTTAACAAATGCAGTGGATCACTGAGTATCCATCAGCAATGTAACTCTATAAACAAAGGTGTGTTATTTGCTTAAGCAATCTGTGCTTGTCTAGACAAGCAAAATAATTGGACAGTTTAGGACCAATTAATGCAAGAAACCAATTCCAAATGGCTTAACACATCCTTGTTTGCCACTGTGTATATTGGAGCATTTCCATTTGATATTCCATGTTCCCAGTGTCAAATTCTCTTACTGTTTGTGTAGTAACCACTGTAGCAGGGACCTGGCGCACAGTGGCTGAAGCTGTTCCTAGAGTCAGAGGTGAGGCCGAGGCTCCGGGAGCAACTGTGATCCCCTTAGTACCGGTAACGACACTGGCAGCCATGGTTACTACATTAGCACACGTAGATGCTGTGAGTGGTTTACTACCAGTGGCGGTTGTCATTTTGATGGTCTGACCGTGTTTCTGAGGAATAACACCGAGACCTGGCATTATCCGAATGGTGGCGCCACTCTTGTCAGGGGAGCTCACAGTGGAGAAGGTCCTAGATTTTTGGTCAGCCATAGTGACAGCCAATGTGGGCATCAGACGTATAGCTGTGTCTCCTGTAGCCTTCAGCAAAGTGGAAGCAACGGTGCCTGCCTCCACCTTGGTGGTCTGTACATCCCCTGTACAGGATGTAGCACTGGAGGCAGAGGAAGGTGAAGGGTGCTGTGGAGTCACATGCAGAGTGGCTGATATGCTCTTGCTACCCGTGGTGGCGGTGCCTAAAAAATCCGGGGTGAGTTTGACAGTAGCAACTGGGGATTTAGCAAGTGTTGCCATCATGTCTGGGGTGATCCGCAGCACCGTCTGGCCTTTAGCATCTGTGGTGATGGAGGACGGTGGAAGACGCAAGACGTCTTTACCCTGAATGCGCAAGTTTGTTGCTGTTATTGGAATTGCTCCTCCTCCTGGAGTTTTCATTCCCAGCTGTCCTGTGATGGACACCTATAAAAAAAATAAAAAAAACAATCCAAGAAACAAATCCTGTGATCATTAACATGCCAAATAACATGTGATACTTACAATACTTAAGAATATTAATGTTTCTCTGTTATAGTCAGTCTCATAACCTGTAGACTTTCCCTGCTGAAACAGCAAAGGCCAAAATTTCCCATGCAGTATAAACGGAACTGAAAGACTCACTTTCCCAGTTTAAACAAAATACTTTACCTGTTTAATATTTGGGCTTGCGACTCCTTGCAGCACAGCAGGGGAGGCTGGGTTGTTAGCTGGGCTACCAGGTGATCCAATTTGAGGTTTGGTCACAGTCACAGCAGACAGAGACAGGGTGGTTGGCACCTGGACAGGACTACTAGCAGACTGACTCCTCAGAGGCACAGAAACCACTGCCTATTAATGTAGATGTAACAGAATAGGCAAAGAAATAATGATACATTTGCAATATGCAAGACAAACACATATTTATCTATCTGTTTCTCCTGGTCACCTGTGAAATGCCCTTGGTTGCCACTGACACTGGCATCCTAATCTGGTGAGGGGTCTGATGCACCAGTGTGGCTTGCTGACTTGCTGCCGAAGAGCACAGACCAGCCTGAGCAGAAACTACCCGTACCTGAGGTAGGGAGCCTGCTGCCAGGTGACTCACTATCCGAGCCGCATGTTGAGATGTGACTGGCTGGGAGGCAGGTTGACCAGCCTGACTGGTGGGTACGATAGTTCCTAGCTGGGGCAATGAGGGAGAGGACACAAGAAGAACACTGGGAGAGCAAGAAGGGAAAGACAAGAGAAGAACTAATTTCACACAGATGACCCCTGGATATATGGGCTGTACAATATAAATAATGGAAGAACTAACTAACTAAATAAATAAATAAATAAAATTGTGTCACACTGACCCTGGACTGGCTTTAACTGTATCTGGGCCTCCAGGCTTTGTTGGCGTGGCGGCTGGGGCGGAAGGTGACATAGGTGTTCCAGTTGTGTTTGGGGTTGGTGTTGTAGGGGTTGGCGTTGTAGGGGTTGGCGACATGGGATTGGAGCCTACATCCTGTCCTGCCTCCAGACATCCAGGGGTTTTACTGCCTCCGTCCTTACTTCCAGACTTCTAAAACAGGGAGTTCAATTTATAGTTATCAGCTCAAATAAATAACTGTACACAACAAGCTCAACTACAGTAGCACGTGTAAGAGTGTTTTCCATACATTAAAAATAGTTAGAAATAAGTTTGTTTCACAATGTGAAATTCTAGGTGTTCTTTTTTTGCAGTGAAAAAGAGACAGTGGACTCACAGGCTTAGAAGCAGGTTTAGGCTTCTGCTGTAGGGCTTTTCTTGCTTTTGCAGCAGCAGCTTGAGCCTGATGGATCCTCTCTGGATGGGAGAAGGAAATAAGATTTAACCTTTTCCACATCACAATGATCTTAAAGACCAAGAGCGTACACTATGAGACCTTTGCTCATCCATATGTGAAAGCAATCATGGCAAAGAAGAGATGAAAGAATAAAAACCACCAAAGTTGAAAAATTTCAAATATTAAACATTGTTTCAGGACAGTATCATGCAGAGCTATGGGGGCTGTAGGAAATAAAGTTAATCGTCTGTCAGACAACAGTAGCTAATCAAACAAAAAAACAGCTTCTTATTAGCTGCCTTTACTCAAAAACTACAGGACTACAAAGCTTTAAACCTCTTAACAAACTACAAGGATAGAGAGCTAAACCCTAAACTGCTGCTTACCAAACTCCTCTTGACTGCGATGGCGGTGCAGGTAAATCCAGAGTTTGCGGCCAATGTCATACTTCACACAGGGGTCTTTCTCATAGTGAAGCCTATCCAGAGCGCCACTGACAACAGTGTTCACCTAAATGTCACACAGGCCAATGTACACACAGACTAAGTCACTGTGCCACAGTAAGCTGAATGGCTAAAATAACATCTGCAAAATCTATCACACCTGTGTACTAGTGACTTCTGGAGCAAGAAACTGTGAGTCTTTTAACAGTTCACAGATCTCTGCTCTTGTTCCTTCTCCATTGGGTAACCTAGCTGCTGCATCTCGCACTATGGAAGAAAGAGATCAGAAGTCAGAATCACGTGATTTGTTTCTTTTGCACATATCTAAAGCAATGTTTAGTAACAGTTTGAAACTTGATTTAGAGTAAAAACAGAAGGTCTAACCTAGAGACAAAATGGTGACATATGGTGGTCGGTCTGAGCGGAGCAATGTGTGCTCCCTGGCTTTGTTGAGAGACATCTCTTTGTCAAACACCCCTTTAACAGGCCCCACCACAGATTCAAACCCGTGCATCCTAAAGGTGAAGGCTTTATGTGGCTGGTTGTATCGCTGCTGCTCCTAATGAACACACACAAAGTATGTCAGCTCTGAGAGTTCATGGCTGAGCAAAATAGGCAGAATGTTGACAGAAAATATTCAGAAAGCACAAACAAACCTGGACTTGAAACACTTGTCTCTCATCTCCGGTGCTGGGCCGCACCACATAATCTGTCAAACTGCATGGTTAAAGATATTACACAGTCAGCTTCAACAACCTTAATATTACAACTCAAACAATTTCTTTCTGTTCATAAAAGGCTACAAAGGACCATTAACCTTATTTACAATTAAGATAATTATAGTCTAATTCAGAAACGAAGCATTTGCTATAAAAACACAAAATTAAGTTAAATATAAAAAGCTATACTTATGTCCTACCAGCAGCCCTAAAAAATAATTGATTTTCTGTTTGTCAACTAATTAATTGATTGTTCAGTCTTATATATTTATAATGTTTGGTAAATAGCTGATCTTACACTCTTGATGTAGGAGAAGTCATCTCTAGCAGGTCTTCATTTTCTGTCTGTGGAAAGCAAAAAAGCATTTATTAAGTGTTGTAACACATTTAAAAAGGTAAACATGAATATTTTAGGACAGGGACAGCATAGTACAAAGTGTAAAGTTTAATTGCTAAGACAGTATTTGTTACATAGTAGGAACTGTACTACCTTGACAACTAAATCTTTGGAATCCAGCCAAAGCTGACAGAGTGCACTGAGATCCTTCTCTGTATCCTGAGTGGGACCTAAAGCAGATCATTGATATTTATCTCAGTGAAGAAAATCATCCTGTTCATTAAGCACTGCATTAATCAGGAATTTCAACAGTTGATTTGTCTTACCAATCCACCTCCACTGCTGAGAGTCCTCAACAAACTCCACAAATGGAGAAAATCCACTGGGGAGCGCCATCATGCCATCTGATTAGCAAACATAACAGTGTGGAGATGAGAGTACATGTGTAACATGCAATGGAAGAAAAGTCCATTTCAGTGAGTGACCACTGCTACTTACCTTTAGTCTCTCCTGCAAGAAACTGCAGGGCTTGAAGAACCAAGTCAGACCAACATGGGGTAGATGAGAACCACACATTGAGGGAACTGGCTGGAGAGGACTGCCACATCTGAACTTTCTCCTCCAACTGAGTGGTCAACATGTAGTTGTTATAATTTGCAATCATAACTGTGATCAGTTCTATAGTATGGAAGTAAAACTCTCTAGTGAGTACACACCAGCGAAATACTGGCAAGTTTCTCTGTCCTTAAGATGCTTTCCAACAAGCTGAAGAAACTGACAGCTATTTCCTCAACTGTAACCGGGCTGCCCTGAGACTCATCCACAATTCTGCAATAACAACAACAGTTCTTTACATTAGTCTGAGGTAACAGGAGTCTCAATGATCATACACAGATATACACAATACTGTAAATATTCATGACACCAGTGTGGCACCAGACTCACTCCTCCTTAATGTTGGGCAGCGGAGTAGATGGCGTGCCCGGCAGGGAGTTGATGATGTTCACTGGTGGAGCTGATGGGGTGTCTGCAGGTGCAAGAGTTTCACAGGGATCCTCAGATTCCACTTTTATTGTTCTCATTTTCTTCTTCCGTCTCTCATCTCTCATCTTCTTCTTAGGCAGAGACAGTTCAAAGAGTGCTGAAAGATAAAAATGTCATAAAATGAATGAAAGCATTACTTTTGATTATTTTTTTTAAGTTCATTTACTTACGCATAACCCCCTTGCGACCAATATTTGCTCTTGAAAGTATGTCTCCAAGGTGGATGTCAGAGGTCATCAAGTCTGGAAGGTCCTGAGTAAATCAATCATTAGTGATATGCTGTATAAGTTAAGACTAAGCCATGTAATGTAATGTAATGTATGTTACTTTTCACTTACTGGGTGTCGCTTCCTCTTCTCCCTATGATTTTGCAGCATGACTTTCAAGTCCTGCTCCCCTAGTTCAGTTTTTTCTGTTAAGAAATAAAAAGTCTTTAAACATTATATTCACTATGCTCAAAAATAAGAGAAACATCATATGGATATTACAGAAATCACTAACCAGCAGTCTTCATATCTTGGGTGGAGAGGCTGGGAAGAACTCTCAGTGAGACAGTGGGTGTTGGAGAGGAAGGCGATTGTGGTGCTGGAGTCCACAGTGATATGTCTAGAACAAATCCAATAAGACACGCAAAAGAACAATTATGATCACTTTTATAAATCAGCTCTTTGGCACTTAATAATCTTGTAATATTTCTAATGAATGTTTTAAACTATCATCATTTTGCACTTTTCATTTTAAAGATTTCATATTCACACTGCATACATCTACCATTGTTTGTTGCTACTGCTTAAAAGCTACATATTACTGCTTTAGAAATAAAATCTATTATTTTTGGCAGTGAAAATAATGAAGGAACAGACTGACCGTCATCATCAGATGATGCATTGCTGTCTCCACACTCAGCTTTGACCTCCTTTAATATGCGGCTCAATCTTCTTCTCACCCTTGGCTCCCGCATTTCAGCATGAGTTTTGGTTGGTAACTTTCTTTTAAGTGGAAAGTCTAGACCATTGTGGACTGCAAACTCCAGTAGTTCCTAAAAGAAGAAGACACATTTAGACTAACTGCAAGAGTCCGTGTGCATGATATTTCAAACATGAACAAAAATACCTTTCTGGAGACAAGGATCTGCTTCAGTAATTTGTGGTAATACTGCTGAAGGGAGTACAACTGTTGCTTTCTCTGGGACTTGGCACACAGCTGTCTGTACTTGACCACCTCAGGATTGAAGTACCCATCTGTGTTGAAATAATTGTGTTTAAATCATAACTCAGCACAATATAATAGTGTGTTGGTGGGTAAACAAGTAGGTAACAAGGAAGCACCTCTGAAAAGTTTCTGTGAAAGATGAAGGGGATTTCCAAAGTTAAAATTTCTGTTGTTGAACAGGTCAGAGATGGCGTTGTCCTGCTCCACAACATTGTTGTCTGGAAACTGCGGCAAAAACTGTCGAAGGTGCTGCCTCTGAGAATCTGACAGTACTTCATTCCAGGTACTTTCGCTCACCACAGAAAAGAAAATTTCAGGCTGTTTAAACAAAAGTAAACAGCAACAATTAATGCATGGTCCGCTGCATGTCTTACCATGTGCACAATCGAGCACAGCGCCAAATAACTCACGTCCTCAAGTAGATCCTCTGGCAGGTCCACTCTACATTTCCCCAGCATGCATTCTTCTGTGATCTGACCATCAGTTTCTTCTTTTGATCCAAGAGGGTCTGTAAGCATATGCCTAAGGGCATCCATTCGTGTCCTCTGTACCAACCTTTACGTGTCTTTCACACAGAAAAACACTTATTACTACAGAATCACACAAAATCTAGATGTAATGTGTGGACAACTGAAGCATTCTAGTTATTCGACTTGACAATGTTGGGACTGTAATTTTGGAAGAGTCATTCTGTCCTATAAACGAAACATTAACGTTAGCATGAATTCAAAACATTAGCTAGACATTGTGTACTTGGATTTAGACTTTCAACAACAATATGTTATTTCTGTGCGGCATATACACAAATACCAATATTATGACTATAATAATACTACTGTGTTTAAAATGATAATGCTCTCACCGAACGCAGTATTTTGTTTTTGCAATTATGAGGAACTTGTTTTGACGAAGCACCGTTTTCTTCTTCTACTATAAACGGATAAGCAACTATCGGAGGCCTTTCGCCTGTCGCGTTTTACTGCCCTCTACAGGACAATAAGAAAACTTAACAGCTCCGTTTCTTTGAACGTTGTACTTGGCACGTATTGTGCTCAGTACTGTATTATACTTTATAACTTCATGACGGACACCCAGTTAAGGCCAAGCATATTAACGTCATTGTGTTTTCATCCTATTTTTTTAGGAAACGTCTCTTCATTTCTCAAAGTTCTTTTCACCATCTTTTGTTAACAGAAAGTGAAGGAGATGGCAGGTAAGCGGTCCCCAGATGTAAGGGCCATAGATAGGCGCTAGCAAGCTGTAGCTAATTAGCCTTGATTAGTCAAACAGAAGTGGGGAGTTGCACTCTTGTGTAGTTTTTCATTTGAGGTTATTTTTGCATTAAATTAATTTTTTATTCACATCCATCCATCAACAAAAACCTAATTCCACAGTTACACATATGAATTTTATCTGAAAAGCCTAGAATCTTATTTATTGTCTTAGTTTTGTTGCAGCATAAATGTGACTATGATCAAATAAGTCCAAATACATAATTAATGCATAAGTATGTAAATAATACATAAAAAATATTTGTGTTTTCTTTAAATATCAAATGTGTGTATGTCATAAGCAATTATTGTAATATTTATCAATTTATATGTTAGCCTTTTACACAGATAAACATTAACAACACAACTTAACCTTACTTTATCTCTCAAGTACCAGATTTGTAACCTGGTCAAATCAATTGGTTTTATTAAGTTTTATTAAAAGCATGCAAATTATACGTTACATTTTTTATTAAGTTTTGTTAATTTAATCTACTCCTTTACACATATTTGAGACTTATTTTGTTTTCAAATTTAATATCTTCCTTTATTGCAATCATTTGTAGTGTAATGTAACAAGACAGTGCAAAACATTGGTCCACATACTATGTAGGAACACTGGTTCAGCTTTGCCAATGAGCTCCTCCTCTTTATGATGCTGTAATGAACAGGAATGAACAGTCAACCCCTCAGCCTCATAACACAGCCAGAGAGAGTGGCGCAGGACCCACACAGCCCTTCAAAAAGCTTCAGCAACATTGTGTTGCTCTATGTAGTGGGCCTTACGAGCAACAGGAAGTGCAGAACTGTGTGATAAATGTTTCTTTCAAGGTTTATCTTTTAATGCCTTGGGACGATGGCAGAAGTTGCAGATGGAGAGGAAGAGATTCAATTCCTGCGTACGGTAAGTGATGCTCTTTGTCTCTCCTCAAATAGTTTACAACTCAGTAAACCTATTCAGACAACAATTTACAGTAGTAAGTCTTTTCTATATTATTAAACATTTACTGTGTTGGGTAAGTTTCTTTCCTTCAGCAGACCACAGACTGACAAGGACAGGTGGCTGGATTTGTTGCCATTGTTATCTATTTGTATTCCAGTGGGCACTTGATGCAGTATGTTACTGCTTTGTCATAGAGAAGAAAACCTGTGGTGGCAGATAACAGTTAGCACATTGTGTATGACACCATCAGTGACACCATCATATTTGCTTTGATGGGCAGTATTTACTTTTTAAACATTTCTTTAAAAAGTAATTACATTTCTGTAGATTGTTTCTGGGTCTTCGTGCCTTACTGCGTTTGTGGCTGAGACACAGATCAAGATTAAAATGGCTTCACAGCAAAAACCTCATGGTTGAAACTCTAAAATGAAAATCTGCCAAAGGTTCTTGTTTCTTTGAGTAAGTTGTCTATGAGTCATTTTAATATAGATTTTTAAATTTGAACAGATCCACCTTGAAAAATGCTAGGAACTAATAGTTCCTTAATAGTTAATTAAACACTCGTTCCTCCTGTTTTTTGGGGGTTTGGAGAGTGAAAACAGGAACAATGTAAATATTCTTGGTAGTATGCTTCCTTGTGTGCTTGTGCCAAGGCTCTACATTATCTGGACTAATCTTTTGTCTCATAATCACCTATTTCCATCCACATGTTTATTATGTTTATTAGATGTGGATGTTTATTCTACACACATGTTTGACTGATTGGAGTGTCCTAAACTTAAATTGTTTGACTGGTAATTATTGGTAATATGTCCTTATTGTGTTGCCCCTTGTGAAAAAATTGCTGTTCTGCATGTTACTGCTTGTAAGGCATAAACAACCACAAGGTTTTGTTCTATTGTGGTTTTAATTTTTTTAATTGATTATAAACAGCATGTTTGAAAAGATTCAGTTTAAATCACTTTATTTTTGCTGCATTACTCTGCACTGAGCTGCCTATAGCAGTGAAAGCAATAGGTCCGTGTGCCAAATCCTGCAGAAGGGCATTGTGGCCTTGCAAGCAGTCTGCTGTATGTCACACTCTCTATTTCGATAGTCAGTTGACACTCAGCTATTTTAAATATTTCACATAATGTAAGTTGAGTTTCTCTAGACCCTGGAAACTATAGCTCCAGCGTTAGCGTACTGATTATCTATTGACTGTGTTATGAGTGTTGCAGTTCCTTATAATCACTCAATTATAAGTTCTGTATGCTGAAGTGTGACTGCAGTCTGTTGTTATATTTGAAGAAATGTTTACTTATGCTTGGACCACTATGAACATATTGAGATTTTACTTTTACTATTTAATCTAACAGGTATGTAAATCTAAAAAAAAACAAGGTGCAGTTGGTGTTGCCTCATGATTTGAAACGCAGCAGTAAAATAAAATATGTCAACAATGTGTCATAACGTTACCATTAATCTGTCACTGTTTGTCTTGAACTCAGCTGTGATCTATATTTGCTGTGTGAGGATTAGTAGGTCTGAAGCTTGGCCCGTTTCAGCACCTGCTTACTTCAGTCCTCATGGGAGCATTACTGCCAAAGTAGTAATAGCAGTGTTTATCATCGGATGCTATTTTCAAAATGTTTTGTCAGATTTTTAATGGTAGTTCTTACATGCCTGTTCTTCTGGAAAACAAACTGTGGCAGTGGTAGGCTCGTGTTGTCACGATATCATCTGTCTTTCAATCGGTCTGCTGTTGTGTCTGCCTGCAGGAACATTCTAGTGCACACAGTAACTTAGGAAAAGCAAATAACAGAACCTGGGGGGCGGCTGTGGCTCAGGAGGTAGAGCGGGTCGTTTCCTAACCGGATGATTAGCGGTTCGATTCCCGGCTTGTCCAGTCAACATGTCGAGGTGTCCTTGAGCAAGACACTAAACCCCCAGTTGCTCCCGGTGATGTCACCGGTGTGTGAATGTGTGAGTGCTTGGGAGTGCGAATGGGTGAATGGCTGAATAATGTGAAAGCGCTTTGAGTGTGCTGTAAAAGCATATAAAGGCGCTATACAAGTATAAGACCATTTACCAACCTTAATACTTAAATCTGTCATGTGGTAGGATTGTGAATTTGCTGAATTGTCTCTAATACCTGTCTTTAAGGTTACAACACTGTCAGATACATTTTAGACTTCAATCTAATGGCTCTTGTAAATCATTAGCAAACAACAAACTTCACGTCTGTGTTTGGATTGTAGGATCAATATTTCATTGTCATGTTAAATAAGATATTTGCTTAGTGGGTGTGTTTGGGACAGCTTATTCAAGGTGTATCATGCTGAGTCTATTAGTATAGTGGTATAATGAAAATTCTTGGGTTAGATGTGAAGCTCTGTTCCTTTTTGTCTGGAGTTTACATACCTTCCTCATCAGTTTCCACTCTAAATGGGACTCATTTCCCATTGATATCGAGCCAGCAATGTAGGCCAGTTTTTTTTCTGGCTTTCAAATCTTGAATTATCTGTTGCCTTCCAGAAAGGGATGTGTGAACAGCAGGTGCAGCTGCCTGAAATAGAGAACTGTGGGACAGAGAGGCAGGGACATTAGAGCTGGGCCAATGACATGCACAGAAAAGTATAGTATCAGGACAAGTACAAGTGAAGGTTAGGAAGTTGTGTAGATAAACAGCAGTTTTTGCAGGTTATTTTATTTTTGTATTATCCCAGGGTTATGTCTCGTATTTATGTTGACTGCAGTGTTGTCTCCGTGGTTAAAGGGTTGGTGGACAATAAACAAAAAACCTCATTTATGTGGTGAGATATAGTCAGACATCTACACTGTGTTCCTTTGTTACCTGATTCCTTGGTACATAGTCACCTCCAAATTAGTTTTGCTTGTAATTACACTTCTTGCAAATACAGTATGAATATATGGATCTATCAACGTCTTAAATGACAAGTTTAAAATGCTAACCCATGAAATGTAAGAGACTTAATGTGATCCAAGATTTGCTGAATGCGTCAAAGGAGGACATCAGTTTTAAGTGGGTTTGCAGGTCTTGGAGAGTACTACTGATTAATACCATTGCAGCATTAGTAAAAAAAAAAAAAATTAAAATGTCAGAAGCCTTTTGTGGCTACAGAGGGAGCTGTGCGAAGTCTGATAAATGTACAAGTTTGAAAATGGTCCACCCCTCATCTCTGCCTGAGGCTAGCAGCTCAAGGCTCTTTAGCCACTACTAGTATAACAACCCAAAATCTCCAATCAAGCTGCCAACAGTCAGGTTTTACTGTGGATAATGAGGAGTACAATGCTAAATCATGGAAGATTTTTTTAAAGGTTAAAGTAGGGTCCCATTTGAAGATTGAGCATTGTAATGAGTTGGCATAGAACAATAAAGTGAGCAGTAAAGTGATCTTTTTTTTTTTTTCTTTTTTTTTTACTTAAATTGTTGCATGTGAATCCCTCTTGGGCGTTTCCCCTGTTCTCTTGCAAAAGGCTTCTGACACACAATCCCCCTTCACTTTGGACTTGCTTTGTCTCTGTAGGATGATCACGTGGTGCTGCAGTGCACTGCATCTATCCTTAAGGAACAGATCAAGCTGTGTCTATCATGTGAAGGATTTGGGAATCGTCTGTGTTTCCTCGAGACCACCTCGAATGCTCAGGTATTGAAGGGACACAGTGCTTAATGGCTTTTATGTATTTAGTTTGATAATTGAAATTGCTACTATTCACCAGGTTTACTGGCTGTCCT